GACTTAACACTTCCCCTTCCCTCACTGTTCTCCCAAGTCTTATCAGTTGCCCAATTCTAGGTCCATTATACTTATTTAACAGTTCTGTCTCCATATCCATAGCTACTACCCTAGTTGGGGCCCCTTCATCTCTCACTTGGTGGACTGGAACCACTTCGTAGTTCTTCCCCCTGCCTCCACTCTTCCCACTTCCAGTTCATTCTTCACACTGCCACCATAGAGATAACCCTAAATCACAACTCTGACCATATCACTCCCCTGCTTAAAACTTTCCTGGCTCTATGTATGTGGGAATGTAAAATGATAGAAAACAGCCACTGTAGAAAATAGCATGGTGGTTTCTCAAAAAACTTAAACATACAATTACTATATGATCCAGCAATTCCACTTCTGGGTATATACCCAAAAGGACTGAAAGCAGGATCTCAAAGAGATATTTGTACACTCATGTTTATTGCAGTATTATTCACAATGATCAAAAGGTGGAAGTAGCCCAACTGTCTATTGACAAATGGATGAACAAAATGCAGTGTGTCTATATTATGCAATATTAATCAGCCTTAAAAAGGAAGGACAACATGGATGAACCTTGAAGACATTAAGTTAACTGGAAGACATTAAGTTAACTGAAAGGCAATAGTTACAAAAGGACAAATACTGCATAATTCCACTTCTATGAGGAACCTAGAGGACTCAAATTTATAGAAATAGGAAGTGGATTGGTGGGTGCCAGGGGCTGGGGAGTTATTTCATGGGGAAAGTGTTACAGTTTTGCAAGACAGAAAGCATTCTGGAGATTGGTTGCACAACATAAATATACTTAATACTACTGAACTGCACACTTTAAAATGGTTAAGATAGTAATTTTTATGTTGTGTGAATTTTACAATGATTTTTTTAAATTTTATTTTATTATGATGTTATGTTAGTCACCATACAGTACATCATTAGTTTTTGATGTGGTGATCCACGATCCATTGTTTGCGTATAACACCCAGTGCTCCATGCAGTACGTGCCCTCCTTAATATCCATCACCAGGCTAATCAATACCCCCTCCCCCCCTCCCCTCAAAAACCCTGTTTGTTTCTCCGGGTCCATAGTCTCTCATGGTTCATCTCTCCCTCCACTTCCCCACCCGTCATTTTTCCCTTCCTTCTCCTAATGTCCTCCATGCTATTCCTTATGTTCCACAAATAAGTGAAACCATATGATAACTGACTTTCTCTGCTTGACTTATTTCACTTAGCATAATCTCCTCCAGTCCCATCCCTGTTGATATAAAAGTTGGGTATTCCTCCTTTCTGATGGCTGAGTAATATTCCATTGTATATATGGACCACATCTTCTTTATCCATTCATCTGTTGAAGGGCATCTCGGCTCTTTCCACATTTTGGCTATTGTGGACAATGATTTTTTTAAAAAACTTTCCTGACTTCTCTTCATCCTCTGGAGAAAGTCCAAGTCCTTGTTAAGGCATAAGGATCTGACCCTGCCCATCTGTGACCATGTGGCTTTTGTCCTTTATTAGATTGATATGGTGTATTGGTGTCCCTAAAACCACCCCCAGGGTCAGTGATTCACTAGGAGGACTCCCAAGACTAAGTATGTAGTCATCCTTAAGGCTAAGGTTTATGACCATAAAAGGATACCAAGCAAAATCAGTGAAAGGAAAAGGCAGTGTTTTCATTCACAGCCTAGGATTATTTTTGGAGACGGTCACATAGGCACTTTCTGCCTGGCATATACCGAAATTCCCAACTCCCAGGAGGCAAGCAGAGAGTCAGCATAAAGTACATTGTTTGTACTAGTTATCCAGGTGGAAAACCTTATCTCTTATCATTTAGGGAAAGGTTCATATCAGTGTAGAGAACTGTTTACCTTTTCAAGTTCCCAGAGGCACATCTTACAAGCAGACCTTTTTTTTTTTTTTTAAGATTTTATTTATTTATTCATGAGAGACAGAGGGGGAGAGAGAGAGGCAGAGGCAGAGGCAGAGGGAGCAGCAGGCTCCCTGCTGAGCAAGGAGCTGGATGCGGGACTTGATCCCAGGACCCTGGGATCATGACCTGAGCCCAAGGCAGACATTTAACTGACTGAGCCACTCAGGTGCCTCACAAGCAGCCCTTTCTAAAGAGAGCAGTCTCAGGCCTGCTAGGTTAACTATTGTCTGTAAAAGGGACACCTGAGTGGCTCAGGTGGTTGAGCGTCTGCCTTGGGCTCAGGTCATGATCCCAGGGTCATGGGATCGAATCCCACATCGGGCTCCTTGCTCAGCAGGAGCCTGCTTCTCCCTCTCCTTCTGCCTGCTGCTCCCCCTGCTTGTGCTCTCTCGCTCTCTCTCTCTGACAAATAAATAAATAAAATCTTTGTCTGTACACCATCTGCCCAACATCAACTTTTCCACTGTCTTCATAAACTACAGCCATATCAAACCACAGGGTGCTCCTCAAGCATGCAACACTTTAATCTACCCTTTAGCACAGGAGAGTCCCCTTACTCCTGAACTCCTCCTTCACCTTCTCACAAAGTTCTTCAAGAGGAACATTAACTGTCACCTCTGTGAAGCCTTCCCTGATTCAATGAGGCCAATCAAGTCACATACTCCTACTATGCTGCCATTATACCTTATCCATACCTCCTTGAGGTCAGGGACCAAATTTTATTTGTCAGTACCCCCAATGCTTAGTACATGGGCTGGTAGTCCCTAAGTAAAATTTGGTTTAATTATAGAATGTGTGGCTCATTAACTCACAGAAAAAAATCAAGGAGCCCACATTACTCTGCATATTCCTTCCACTGCCCTCCAACCTACATTTGCACTCATCCTTCCCTCCTGTCTCTAAGACAGAGCCATCTCCTTCCTTCCCAAGGCTCTAGAACCTACCACCCTAAGCCCTTACCATAAATTCAGTGACCCTTCACCTTTGGGTTTGCTCACTCTTTCTTCAAATATCAAACTCTCTTTACCCAGAGTGTATTTCCTCACCTGAGCACATAAGCATGCACTTTAAAAAGCCCTTCCCAACATCCTGTAGCTGTGTTTATCTGCTCATTCATCCAATCTCCATCAATTCCTGGCCAACATTTTAGAAAGAGTTGTATACCTCCACCAACTGCACCACCTCACTGCCCACTTCTTCCTCAATCCATCATAAGTCAACCACAATCTTTCTAACTCCTGTGATCTGCCCCCTGCTTAAAGCAGCCATAAACTCCATTTTACCAAATCTATGGGCTTATTTAAGGGCACACAGCATACTGGAAAGTTAGCTCAGTCTGGCTTGGTTTCCATGATGGTACTCTTTCCAGGTTCTTCCATTTATCCAAAACTTTCCTTCTCAGTACCCCTCTTCAGGTTCTCTTCTGCTAAAAGACCTTTCAATATTACTATCCAGAATTCTGACGCATCTGCCTTCGTTTCTCTCTTATTTTTCCTTTTTTTCATTGTATAGACTCAGAGTTTTAGGGGGCCAATAATTAACACCTCTTTTTTTAGATGAAAAAAGAACAGAAAATGGAGATAAATGTCAGCTGATGAAGCAGATGGCTTTACATGTACAGCCAAAAAGGAGGGCTCCTATTGCATCCTTGAACCACAGGTCCTTACTCACCCAGCCAAGAGCCTGGCTGGACAACTGGCCCTGGGGGCTTGTAGACAGAAGCAAAGAATTCAAGGGGAACCTTCTTGCTGTACATCTGAAGCCATCTGCTTCCAAATACAAGGAGAATTACTGGCCAAGCTAGATTCATGAAGTTCCTGTTCCCAATTTGTTAACCAATAAGCCATTCTTCCCCAAGAGAAGAGGAAGAGGAAGGGAGGCCAATAGTATAAACAAGAGACCAGGGAAACTCCATATCCATTAAACAACAACAAAACTGACATTAATAACATTAATATGTTATATTCATCATGAACAGATCAGACATGACTTGTATGAAGATTCCCTTCAGCTGCCATGTGGAGAATCAGGCCAGGGGGCATAAAGTAAGATGATACAGGAAACCAGTTAGGAAAATGCTCAGCCAAGGGAGAGATGATAAGGCCACAAGCCTTGTTGTTTATAAAAGGTAAAGGTGAAGGGAAGTGGTAGCCAAGTCTCTTCTAAGATTTCAGGATTGGTCAACTGGGTGGATGGTAATGGTTCCAGATCGTGGAAAGAATAAGCTGAGAGACAGCAAGGAAGTTGGGGGAGGTGCCATGCAGAGATATAATAAGGTCATTTGGGTAATGCTGAATGTAAAGTGCCTGTAGAGAATCTGGATAACAATGTCCAGTAGGCCATGGAGCAAACAGGTCTAGAGTGGAGTGAAGATTATACTGGAGGCTACAGAGTGGATGAGGTTGCCTAGAAAATGTCAGTTATTATTCAATCTCAATCTCCCTCTCTCTCCCATTCTCTGACAGTGCCATTTTATACATACAAATAACCCTCATCCTACTTGGGACCCCCATCCTGGGAGACCTTCCTGCTCCACATGTCAGAAATTAGCCAGGGCTTCTTACCTCCGGGTACATACACCTACTTCTATCACAGGCCCTATCCCAGCTACGTGCACCACAGGAAGCCCCTCAACACTGCTTCACACCCAGGGAGTCACCATCCCAACTCCACTCATGGGGCAGGAGTTTGAGCTCCTGGGTGTGTGAGTGCCAGGCACTGGCATGAACATGGGATAAATGTGGATCCTACTTGGGGCACCTGGGTTGGTGCTTAATCAGTTGGTTAAGTGCCTGACTCTTAGTTTCAACTCAGGTCATGATCTCATGGGTCATGAGATTGAGCCTCACATCGAGCTCCACATGCGGTGGGGAGTCTGCTTCAGGATTCTCTCCCTCTATCCCTCCTCCCCCCCCCAACACACACTCTCTCTCTGTCTCTCTGTCTCTCTCTCTAAAATAAATAAATCTTTTTTAAAAAGTGGGTCCTACCTGGGTCATGTTCCCTGACAAAATTTCACCTCAGGTAGGCAGGGGGCCCAGCACAGCATAACCCTTACCTGGTGGCCTGGCTGTCCAGTTCCACAAGCTGCTCAGGTCTTCTGGGGCTGCTCTGTGGCTCTGGGGTCCTGGGGGCTGCAGGCTGCTGGGAGGGTACAGCTGGGTCTCCCTGGCCACCTCTCAGGGCTGTGGGCTTCTCCTGCCAGATCTCTCCCACCTTGGCAGCCACATTCTTCTCTTCAGAACCAGGCAAGGTGCTGAGGAAGAATAAATATCCTTATGGAGCAAGTGCTTTGGGACCAGTCCTTCTTTACCCACTGCCTGCTGATGTTACCTCCTGTGGCCATAGTGGGCTCCTTTTCCAGAAGATGGGGAAGAGAAGAGCCCAGCATGGCCCACCACACGGAGACCAGTCTTTCTCGTCTTTGGGAGAATCCCAGTACCACTGCTCCCCCTCCCACTGACAAAAGCAGTCCCCACTCATACTAGAGAAAGCCTGAACCTCTGATGCTTTTACCATCCCCTGAATCTGGCAAGGAGAAAGTGGCTTCTCAGCTATACCACACATCAAGCTCTTTGGGAGATCTTCCTCCCTGGCCTCATGCCACACCTACACTTGAACACCTTTCCCATCACCATCCCCATCTGAGGTGCTTCCAAGGGCCTTGTTCTTTCTCCTGGTGCCTTCCCCATGACCTCTGTGTGTGATGGTGCTGCTACCTGGAGGCCTCAAAGATGTTATATGCCCACTAGGCCAAGGACACTGAGTCGGGTTATTGAGAGCTTAAGCCAGCATTCTAGAAAATAAAAATCTAGTTCATCACCCGGATCCTGGCTTAACCCTGAACTCAAGCCTCCCAACATCAGCAGCATGCCTCCAATCACTAGCGGGGCTACCCTGGGATAAGAAGATCACACTACCAGTTACCTTAGCCCTGGGACTTTTTATTCATAGAAGTTAATCCCGTAATAGGTATGCTCCCTGTCTTCAAGCTGAAATAACAAGTGGAGCAGTGACCATAGATTTTGGAGTATGCCCTGAAAGCAATGCGATTTTTCGGCCTCAAGTGACATGAACCAAAGTACCCTAGCAGGGATAATAAGCTTATTACCACTACCAGCTGCCCAGGCGAATGCGCAGGCTAGTGGGTGTTATCCCTCTCTGTGCTGCTTCTACCCTGATGGTCTGCTGCAGCCCAGCCAGATACCAAAAGTGGTCTGCTCAGATAATGCCAGTCCCTTAGCCAGCAGGATACCCTGACACACCCACCCCAACCCTACATGTGACATACATGCTTGAGCCAAAGACAAACATAGAAAGCCTAAAGAGCTTGTTTCCTGCCTCTGTAAGCCCTGAACTAGCTTTGCCATGGACTTAATCAGAATCCTGTCCCATCTCCTGTCCTTTATAGAATTACAGTAACAGAGATTGTCCTCATCAATTTGTGCATCAAGTCAAGATTCTCTGAAAAGAGTAATTTGGGGGTCCACTGCAACACAAGGACAAGTGGATGAATAAGGTTCCTTTGCCCTAGGCCTCAGAGCAAAGTCACTACAATTATAGGAGGTGTAATCCATCTGACCTATAAAAAGGAAATCTTAGTCACAGGAAGTCTTGCTGAGCAATGTAATACCCCTGAGGTCTCCCATGCCTCTAATGAATTGTCTGTAAGTCAAGTGTTTAGAGATAGGCAAAGTAATACTTCTGGCTGTAACTAGATCAAAGATTCAGTAGCCTAATACAGCTACTGTCTATTCTGGACACAATCACACTCCCACATGGAAGATAACACCCCCTTCCACTCTTATACTACCTCCAAAAGACTCCTCTGCTGGTTGATAATGGTTGTCCACAGTGAATACATGTGCCTAAAGTTTACCTGTTCCTCATGCAGAAAGAACATAAATGTGGAAAGCCCAGGCTTGCAACATAACAAAGAGGAAAACTCTATGTTTTAGATGTAAAAATACCCAAAGTTTGGTGGGGAGGGGATGAACTACTCTGTGTCTTATTAAAAGAAATCAGGCCAATAAAACTGTAGAGGGGAACAGCAGCTTTCCCAGTGTTCTGGTAGAAGGAGGTATTCCTTTGGGGCTGCTTTATTTAGCTTGAAGTTTTTATAAAAGGAGAGTCTGACATAGTACTTTGTGCCAGGGAATGTCCTACATGCTTTATACAAACAAACTCACTTAATCCTCACAACAACCCTGTGTGGTGGGAACTATTATTACCACTATTCTATAGGTAAGGAAATTCAAACACAGAGTGTAATAGGAACAAACTGAGCATGTTTGACTCCATATTGCTTCTATTTTCCTTGCTACTGTGACCTATAGCTTAGAAACTTCTAGTTTAGCCATGCACGTAGGCATGCTACAGCTAAGACTTGCAAAGACCACTCTTTACCCAAAACTTACCTCACCCAAGGAGATAAGTAAGTATGCACACAAATGACTATGTTATGTTTAAGATTTACAGGAACAACATGACCAGATTCCTGTAAACAAAGATAAACTGACTAAGGACAGAGAAGTTACACAACCTTCCTGGGATGTCTACAGATGTCAGTCACCTTTTAATTCCACCCCCTCCTGCTTCCTCCCTTTAACTAACTTTCTTTTGATTTTTTTATGAAGCTCAAATTCCATGCCAAGAGGAGGTAGTTCCTTAGGATAACAGTCTACCATCTCCTTGGTTTGCTGGCTTTCTGGATAAAGTTGCTTTCCTTACCCTAACATCTTGTCTCTCCACTTACTGGCCTGTCCTGCAGTAAGCAGAACGAGCTTGGATTCAGTTAGAAGAGGAGATGGGAAAGATATCCAAGGCCACATAGGGAGTAAATGACAAAGCTTCAGTGTGAGCCCATGCACAGGAATAAATGCTCTTGATCACCATACTATACTGACTCTTCCTGCACATGTAATGAAGCAAGACTAAGTTAGAATAGGGAAGAGTTCCTCAAGTTTTGGGAGAGTTTGACTGCTCTGCAGGATCTCCTTGCCCACCCCCATCACCCTTCCTCACACAACTCTTGGGAATTAAGCCACCTCTCCAGGGCCCCAGAGCCCTGTCCAGGCAGATCCACCCAGGTGGTCCCTCATGGATGGAGGATTGGCAGCCCTCCCCGTGAGTCCACAGCCCCTGCCCCCGGGCAGCTCTGAAGATCAGTGGCCAGAGGCCAGAGACGACCAAGGCCAGGGCACCCTGCCAAACAGGCTGGGGCCACAGTAGCCCCTTTCGGCTCCTTGCGGGCACCCAGCCCGCTCCCTCCCTCCCGCCTCTGCCTGGACTGCGGCGATGGTCCACACGGGTCAGAGGGGCCTGCTGCAACCCCAAGGTCGGTGACACCACCAGCGCCCACCAGGCCATCTATGCAAGGGCAGGGAGAGCCCAGGGCGGCCCCAGACGGACGACCCGGCCCATTTGTGATCCTCGCGCGCCATCTAGCGGCCGGAACCAGCACGGCAGAAGGAGAAGCTACGCGGAGGCCTTCCTAGCCCTAGGCAGCCATTTCGCTTTGTGCATGGTCGCATTTCCCGATAGGCACTGCGACCCGAGCTCCCCGGTGCAGGAAATGGCGGTGCACGCAGGCGCACAAGACTTCAGTGTGCTCGCCCCCGCCACGCAGGCGCACAGAAGACGGTGTCGCGCTCCGGTAGGCGCGCGCGCGCACAGGCGCGCGCCAATCAAAAGCCCAGGCGCGAAGCCGGCAATGATTCTCAACCTAGACTGGACATGAAAATAGACTGGGAGATTTTAAAAAGACATGGATGGTGTAAGCCACCCCACAACAATTAAATCTAAACCTCTGCATGGGGCTCAGGAATTTTTTTTTTTTTTTTTTTAACACTTTCTTGGTGATTCTCAAGTGCTGCCAGAGTTTTCTCCATTGTCATATTGCATAATAAGAAGCCAGATCCTGCCCCAGGTTTGGGGAATATTACATGAGATCATGCAGACAGGGTGCTTCACACGTTAACTAGCAGAGAGTTACTGGTTCTGGATCTTGAGAATAGGCTTCACACAACAGATTTCATAAAATAGCTTTTTAAAGTTTTTCCTTAAGTGTTGTTGTTTTTTTTTTTTTTTTTTTTTTTTTTTTTTTTTTTAAGAGGCTCTTGCTCTGGAACTCAGCTTTGCCACTTGTAAGCCCTTGGGCAAATTACTTAACCTTTCTGTGCCTCAGTTTCCCTGCTTATTCATTTTATGGGGTTGCTGGAAAGATTGTAAAGCATCCAGCAGAGCACATTATAGGTGTCAGTTGCTGTTTTCACTCTGTTAACTGTCCGTGCAATTTGAACCCAAAAAGCCACATAATATGGTCTCATACCTCATAGCTTACCAAAGCCCTGGTCCATCTATGGTCCCTGTCATTGGCTAGGCTCCAGCCACTCTAGTGTATTCCCACTGCAGGGTTCATCTGCAGTTCTCTATCTGCAGCTCTTTTCTCCTTGCTCTTGCTAGAATTGGTTCCTTTTCCTCCTTAGAGGAGCTTGCCTGAGTTACCCCATGTAAGTAGTAGCCCTCTTCACTGTCACCACTCTGTATCAGCACCCTGGCTATTTCTTTCAGAGCACTGTTCTTCCCAGGAGGCACAGATACCTATGTTCCAGACCTTTGTTCTTCATTCTAATTAGGTGCAAAACTCACAGGATTGTGGGGATCACTGTATAAGACACAGTGAGTCAAGGGCTGTGCACCCAGTAGGTGACCCAAAGTTAAGTGGTTGTAGTGGTCATTAACAATATCTGGTATTAAAGGCCAATCAGCCCCTTCATACCCCGACAAGTCTTCTATTTCACCAGTCCCTGACAAGGACCCTCAGTACTAGCCACACTCAACTACATGCAGTGCCCAGGAAATAGCAGGTTGTTTGGAGTCCTTTGCATATCCTGTTTCCTTTGCTTGAAGGACCTCTATTCACCTTTCAAGATTCGGCTCAAAAGCCACCTCCCCCACGAAGCTGTCCTGGCCACCACCACCACCGCCCCCCCCCCCCCCCGCCATTTCCCTGCTCCAGCATAATGTATTCTTCCAGTCTGGGCCAGGCTTTGTCTCCCATCAGCCATATCTGTGTGCTCCAGCCTCCAGCACAGGGCAGGTGCCATTCGAGTGATTGTTGATTGAAAGAGTGGGTGACTTCCTGATTATGGAAGACTTCCTGGCTGGAAGCAACAAGGTGTAGTGGAAAGCTTTGTGGCCGCAGAGGCAGAGGCTAGAGGGCTCTAGCTGGGGCTTCAGCTCTTGCCACATGCTTTGGACCAGCTCAGAGGCCTTGCTGGCCTCACCTTCCAAGCCAAAGGCTAATGCATTCCTGAATTTTTCTCTCCACCTCAGAAGCTCAGCACTGTTGCCTGATGACTTACCCCTTCAGGTGTGCCGACCTGTCATCCAGGTCTGCTGGACTGTCACTCTTCCAGTCAGCTGGTCCAGCAGAGGCCAGAGTGGCACTGGAGCTGAGGGAGAAAGCACACATGCCTGATGAGGCCTCAGACCAAAGGGGACTCGGGGCCCTTCCCAGTTGCCTTCTCACTAATGATGTATTGTATGGTGACTAACATAACATAATAAAATAAAATTTTAAAAAATCAGGCAGATTGATGCTCACAGCACGTTGAGCAGTCACAGCTCACCTCATCGCCTGTGCAAGCCTGCACTTGAGTAGCATGTTCACTAAGAGTTCCTCATGTTTGTTCTCAAATCTGTTTATCCCATTTGTACTTCCAACCATAATTACTAAATTCAATTATTAAACTCATAAAAGTGAATGGGAAAAAAAGTGAATGGAAAAGGAGTGATTGTTTTCTGCATAAGAAATAACATTTTCTGGGATGCCTGGGTGGCTCTGTCGGTTAAGTGTCTGCCTTTGGCTCAGGTCATGATCCCAGGGCCCTGGGATCAAGTCCCACCTCGGGCTCCTTGCTCAGCGGGGAGCCTGCTTCTCCCTCTGCCTGCCGCTCCCCTTGCTTGTGTGTGTGCGCTCTCTCTCTCTGACAAATAAATAAAATCTTAAAAAAAAAAGAAAGAAAACATTTTCTGGGGTGGCTGGCTGGCTTAGTTGGTAGAACATACAACTCTTGATCTCAGGGTTGTAAGTTCGAGCCCCACATTGGGTGCAGAGATTACTTAAAAATAAAATCTTAAAAAAAAGAGAAAGATTTTCCTTGGAAATATAATAAAGGCAAGTTTCTTAAAAATCACTGTCAAGGGCGCCTGGGTGGCTCAGTCGGTTAAGCGACTGCCTTCGGCTCAGGTCATGATCCTGGAGTCCCGGGATCGAGTCCCGCATCGGGCTCCCTGCTCGGCGGGGAGTCTGCTTCTTCCTCTCCCGCTCCCCCCTCTCATGTGCTCTCTCTCTCCTCTCATCCTCTCTCTCAAATAAATAAATAAAAATCTTTAAAAAAAAATCACTGTCAAAATAAGGATAGGTAAGACAATGTATAAAACTCTTGAATCTTGAAAGGTTAAAAGTCATAAAAATCTAGACAATTCTTCAGATTATTTTGTAAGGTAACTTGATGTTTGGCTTTATTTTAAGGAAACTGAAAGCAGAAAGCAAAGATTTTACTTTATGAAGGTGTGTAAGCAAGAAGGATGACCTGGATGAATATTCAAACATGAAGCAGAAGTCTACAACAGCAACCAGCAAATTCACTTAATAGCACAAGTGCTGGCCAGCACATAGTGATGCAGGCTGCAAGTGCTGGGTTCTCAGAGAGTCCTCCCCGCTAGTGACAGCTCAAAGAGCCAAGGCTCCAGCCCAGTGGCCTTTCCCTTGTGGCTCTCGGCAGACACTGGCTTTGTCATTCCTCTTTGTCCATTTGCTCTGAACCATAAGGGCGCTAGCACAACTTGGAGCTGAACTATCTGTGCCAACATCAGCTTACTTATTCTTTGTCCCCAAGGATGACTCATTCTTGGCTTGGAACCACTTGGGGACAGGTGGGACCTTGCCACTTCCTGAATCACCTGAGAAAGTGGCCCCTGACTCCACCCAGGTCCAGGAATTTGAGCCCAGCCAGACATGCTTGTCTTCTCAGAGGGGCCACTACTTTTCCTCTCACTGAACCAAAGAGCATAACTGGCCAGGAAAGGCTGGTGGGGCAGGAAAAGGAGCTTTGGGGCTTCTGGAAGGGAAGGGAGAAAGCAGAGATGAAGGACCTCCTTCAGCCTGTCCTCAGAGCTCAGCCAAGAAGAAACAAATGACCATCGGGCGCCTGGGTGGCTCAGTTGGTTAAGCGACTGCCTTCGGCTCAGGTCATGATCCTGGAGTCCCGGGATCGAGTCCCGCATTGGGCTCCCTGCTCGGCGAGGAGTCTGCTTCTCCCTCTGACCCTCCTCCCTCTCGTGCTCTCTGTCTCTCATTCTCTCTGTCTCAAATAAATAAATAAAATCCTTTAAAAAAAAGAAACAAATGACCATCATTTGGTCATTTGTTTGTTAGTCTGTCCCTTCACTCATTCCCCACACATTCATCCTACCTCCTGATGCCTGCCCAGGCAAGGGCTGGGCCTCCGGCTGCAAGTGGGCCCTTGTGCTTGCTCTGTAGGCTCTTGAGAGCCAGTGGCAGAAGGTAGAAGGAGCAAGATTCAAGCATCGGCAATTCCCATAAGTGGAAAGCCCAGGGACAAAGGATGTGGTGGCAGCAACTGGAGAAGCAAGCTGTACATAGGACTATGGGAAATGACAGTGCTCAGTCCCCAGCAACCCAAGCAGTTTTGGCAGCTTGACTCTGGCCTGTCACCGGAACATGAGAGAATCAGTAAGTTGAGGCCACCTGCCTTCCCCAGGCAGCTTACCCTCCTCTGCCAGAGCCAATGTCTGCTCCAGTCAAGCCTTCAGGTAGGAAGCTCATGGCTCTGGGTCCCACATTGCCATCGCTTGATTGTGTGCTTGACCTGTTACGGGAAGAGAAGCATTTGCTGACTCTGATTAGGTTTTGATCTAATATAACTAAGATGTCCTGAGAGCAAGCCTCAAGGACTAGAAGCCCAGGCTCTCGGCTGCCACCCTGCGCTGCTTCAACTAGAGCCAACCTGACACCAGCGAGTATTTCTGCTTTTCTTCCAAACCTAATGGACCAGGAGCAAGAGTGAAGCCAAAGCAATAGAGCAAAGTGGCAACTCAGGAGGAAGCTGGCACAATGGAGGGATCAATGGCTGAAAAGAACAAGGGGCAAGGCATTTGGGGCCACTAATAAACCAGAGCCCAGGGCAGAAACAAGATCCCCAAGACATCCTGGGTCCCCTTCCCTCATTTCCATGGCTGAGTCCCCACTGGGGATCCAGAACTCCACATTGAGAAAATGGTGGCAGACAGGCAAGGTTGTGGGCTCTTATCCATTACTGGCTACCAGAATCCCATTGAAAAATTGTCTAAATCTCAGCCACTGCTCACCACACCCAGGCTTCCCTGGTCTGGCTTGGAGGACAACTCAATGAGATGGTCATAGGATGGCTGGGCACAACCATCCCTTCTGGACTCATCATCCCCCACTGGCTCTGCCTCACATCCTTGCCAGCCTCTACCATGTCTCCCTTTATCCACAGGCCATCCTGGAAGTCCATGTTAGATGTTCTGTTGAGGCCCATGTATCCTTTGGTCACTGACTTCCTTAAACTGCTGACTTGGCAGCCTTGCTTGCCCTGGCCATCAGCAGGACTGCTTTCAATGGGGACAAAGGAACAGTGAAGTTGGGCCAAAGGCTGGGGTGGGGTGGTCTGGCCTAGAGTTTTGTCCAGCTCTGCAACTGGCTCCCTGAGGGATCTTGGCAGGGGCCTGCCCCTCTCCAGGCCTCATACATTCCTTCATTTATTCTTTCAACAAATATTCATTGAGGACTTGCACTGCCTTAGGCACTGGGGACACAGTGGGGAACTAGACAGTCCTGGTCCCAGCTCCATCCATTGACTTAGACCAAGGGCCACATGGGCTCTATGTCCCTGCACTGAGTTACCTTTCAGAGTCTGGACTGCGGCTCTTGCGGGCCTCCTCACCAAACAAGTCTCTCTTGGCCTCTCTAGGGCTGGGAGCCTCTTTGTCTTTGGAGCCTGGGGAAGAACTATGGAGGAAAGAAACATAAGTTAACCACCCACGAGCCACCCACACTCAGATGAAGGAAGTTACCTCATCCCTAAATGCCAACTATCTCCAAGGAACTTAAAATCTGATACTGTTGGACTGGCCAAGTCTCAAATTCTCATTACTAATAGCGACTGTTGATTGAGGGTCAGACTCCAATCTCATGATTCTGCATGCATTAACCATCCACATAAACCCCAGGATATGGGCACTGTATTTATCCATGCCTACCTTCCAGATGAGTGAATGTGGGCACAGAGAGCCCAACCAATTTGCCCCAAGTTCCCCAGGTAGCAAGGGGAAGAGCTAGGATTTGAACCCAGTCTGACTGCAGAGTTCTGGACTATAATCCTCCATGATGTTAAGACTGCTCCTAACCTCCTAATTCAACCTCCCTCTGTTCTCTCTGACCTAGTGGGCCACTTCTGCCTTCTTTCCCCCATCTGTCTGTCCTGACTCTGTGACACCATCTCCTACCTCCCTTGCCATACCTTCCCAGTCTCCTTCACTTTTTTCTCCTCTTCTGCCCTGTAATTTTGGTGTTCTCAGCATTCCTTTCCATGTGCATGCTCCACCACCTTGCCCACTTCCTCTGCTCCCATGGCATCAACTACTACCTTCAAGCCAGTGACTTCTACTTGTTCCCACCTCTCTGTGTTCCTGACCCATACCTCCAATGCCTTTCAGACTGGCCCTCAGACAGCTTATCTTCAATATGGCTAGAACTGACTGCCATCCCCAGCCGCCCTCAGGGGGGGATGACCAGGCAGTTGCCACCTCCACACTGGGATCTGTGCTCAGCCTGCTGGCTCTTCTCTCCTTGATTCCCTTTACATTGTACCCCATGTAAACACTGACATTGAATCCCATTATTTCACTTTAATCTGTCTGCATATAACATGGAAATTTCTTGAGCCCTAACCTCTTTTCAAAACCTCAACTACAAACCCTCAAATACCTCCTGGCAATTTGCATTTGGATGCCCACAAGTAAACTCATCATATATTTATTAAAAAATACGAAGTATTTATATCACCCCTTCTTGCCCCTTCACCCTCTCCCCAGTAGTGTACTGAATTATGGAGCAAAAGGCACAGAGTGGGAGTCAAGCAGCCTGGGTGGGAGTCTTGAATCTGCCTGTTCTTGGCTGTGTTACCTTGAGCAAGTTACTTGACCATTCAGGGTCTCAATTTCCACATCTGTAAAATGGACATAGTGACTGCATTTACATCCTGCATGGGAATACCTGCTAGGCTGTTGGGGCAGGGCAGGACTTGGTCAATTCTAGCTTTCCCTCTTTCTTCTTCCCCCAACTTGATTCTCCCGTTGGAAAGTGGGGGAGGGGCACCCCATGGGATCTCAACGGGTTATCGTAGCTTTGCCACTCCCAGACAAAGTACCAGAAGCCTTGTGGGTTCTAAGACAGGAGACACAGCAAGGATGTTCATTGGAGGCAGCCTGGCTTCCTCCTGCATCTCTTGGGGTCACTTTGCCCTTGTTTCTCATAGATTGTTCACCTCGGGGAAATCAATGAAGCAGCTTGCAATACTGCCTTATTAAAGAAATCGTCACACTGGATGATCCTCAATCATTCCAGCAACAAACACTCCCGCATTTCTGTTCTGGGCCAAAGGGAATGTACGGAACACTTACCTGCAGCCCCTGCCCTCCAGGTGCTCAGAGTTCTTGGGGACAACTGTGCACAGGCACCATATGGAGGCCTGGGAGGCTGGAGCTGAGGGCCCAAGGAGGGGGGATATATAGGGGGTAGTGAGTTCAGGCTGCAGAGCCCAATCAGGTGGGGGACATTGCAGGGTTTTCCCCAGGGGGCTGGCATGATTACTTCTGCCTTTTAGAAATCTCATCCAGGTAGAGATGTGAAGTGTCTAGGGATGGGGCAATAGGAGAATAGGAATAGGAAATATCCCTAAAGTAAAATGGGTAGGACTCAGTGCCTGACTAGGGTGGGGATGTGGAGAAGGAGGAGTCAAAGAGGAGAGTAAAGAGAACTGGAGACCCATCAGGACTCACCTTGGATGCCACTTCCCCCAGGAAGCCTTCTCTTAACCATCCCCACCTCTAGCTGGTGACAGGCCCCTGCTTGGAGCTCCCACTGCCCCAGTGGGCATACACTCTGGCCTCCTTCCCTAGACTCTGGGCTTCATAAGGCAGGGTCTCAGTCTGGCCGCTTAACAGCTGCCTTCCAGGTCCTGGCACAGGGGTCAGGTATGAATCAGGAGCTCAGTAAATATTAGCTGATTGAATAGCTAAATGAATAGAAGACAGAGTGCTGCAGGATCCCTCTCTCCACCTGTCCCTCCGAAGAGAATTGGCCCTTCCCTGCTCAGATCTCCCTTTGCCCCCACCCCAGCTTCCCTGAAGCCCGGCTCCTAGCAAACCCTGCAAGCTCCCTTCCACCTCACCATCCTGCCTGCCTGTTGCATGAATCTCTGCCTCCTGTCTTGGGGCAGGGACTAGGCCCTCTGTGCTCCCTGCTGGTTGTGGTCCCCCTGTCCCTCACCCTCCCCAGCACCAGGTGTATCAGATGGTTAACATCTCTGGCCAGGGGACAGTCACCACTGGGGTGGAAAGAATGAGATGGGGGTAGGGGACTCAGGTTGACCACGTCTCTCGCCAACCAGCCCCTGGGCCTGATCATTTGTATCCCTTCCCTACTGACTCCATCTCTAAAATGGCATGGAAGGAGCCCAGCAGGGCCCCCATACCTCATTCCTTCCAGGTCTGGGGCCATCAGGCAAAGTCCTGCCCCAGGTGTCATGATCTGCAGGTGGACAATCTCCTCACCTCTTGTACTGTAGCCAAGGAAGAGAGCCAGGGAGTTGCTGGTAAGAAAAACCTCCCCCTCTTCCCCATCTGTGCCAGGGGTCCAAGGGCATTCTCCCTCAGGAGCCTCCTGGCTAATGCAGTGGGACACCCAGACCCGTTGCCTTTTTTCCCCCCTCTTGTCTCCTCTTTGGCCTTAGGCTTTCTTGGTGCTACAGCTGAGCATGGGCCACTGACCTCCAGGCACCAGAGGAAGGAGAGTGAAACACCCCTTTACTGATCCCCCACCCATGAGCCCAGACCCCTTCAGGCACAGCAAGGGGCCTTCTGGGTGGAAACGGGACCACCCAGCTCCAATGCCCTGTCTATAGCTGCTGCCATGAGGCTACTATCCACTTGCAGAGGTGAGCCCTCGCTGTGGTCCCTCTGGAATGTCCAAAGTGGCTATTTGTGAGGCCAGTGGGAATTCTGGGTATATGGACTGATGGGGACTGATGACAAACAAGATACTCTGGAAACCTACAGACCAAATTTGGAGTAAGAGCCAGTGGGTGTAGGATATCAGAGACTTGGGGCATGAAAGCAAGTGACCAGGTGCCTGTGAGCTGGAGCTCACAGAGGATCAGATATTCTCAGCACTCAGAGGGCCCCTTTGAGGATTCCTGTGCTCAGAACCTGGCCCACAAGTGACCACACACATCCCTCCAAGTCTGATGTACTTTTTGGCTCCACTGCAGGGTCTGATACCCAGTAGGCTTGGGCAATGGTGATGGGCAGAATCAGAAAGAATCTAGAGCTCCCTGGCTTTGTGGGGGGTCCTCTGCATCCCAAACTATACCTCCCCAGCTCCTTTAAGACCCATCCTTTAAGATCATCCTTTAAGACCCAGCCCACTTATAGCAACTAATTCCTTTCTTCAGCTGCCTCTGGGTACTAGGACAGTAGAGACAAGGAGTCCAGATGGGGGTGAGGCCCAGGCCTGCCCTGGTGAAGCCCCCAGCCCAGTGGGGGGCAAAATGGGGGCACAGACTGTGCACAAATCCAGGCCCAAGGACACCTGAGAAGCTTCACGGAGCTATAGTCCCACTGGAGGCCAGCTGGCAGGAGACTTAAATGCTGAAATCAGATCTGGCCAAGGAATGGGCTTGACGTGGGGGGTGAAGGGCTTCACATGATCAGACTGGCACTTTAGAAAGGCCCCTCTGGGGTCCCAGGAAGAGGAAAGGAGGAGCCAGGGTGAAGGCCGGGAGGTAGGTGGTCTTCACTTTGGGTCAGCCATGGTGGTTTGGCTGCTGTCTTTGGAAAGTCACCTCAGAGTTGATTCTGACATCTGGCTCCAACCTAAACTAGGAGGCTTTAGAGGACCAGGTCAGTGGGCTGCTTGTCTATGTCCCTCCTCGGACTTGGCTGAGACCTAGCACATTGGAGACGACAAGAGGGAAATGGAAGGGCTTTCAGGGACAGGGTGCCTGGTGCACAAGGGGTAGCTCTGATCTCCGTGTCCTCCAATGATAGCAAAATGATGACAGCATAAAACACCTGTCTGGGACACACCCCACTTGAGAACATCACAGGCAAATAAAACATACTTCTTCACTGGTCTTTTTTGTTATGTCAGAGAGGAAATAGGAACAAAGTATCACCCAAGCCTGTCTAAGCTGGTGCCTCTCCTTCAATGCCTTCGTCCTTCTTTGTCACCCCCTTGAGCAATGCCTTCTTGAAGACCCAGCTCAAATGGCACCTTTTCCAGGGGGGCTGTTACGGGTTGCATTGTGTTCCCCTAAAAGATATGCTAAACTCCAAACCACCAATATCTGTGAATGTGCCCTTATTTTGAAATAGGGCCACTGCAGATGTAATTAACTTAAGGTCATACTGGAGAGGAGTGGGTCCTAATCCCAATATGACTGGTGCCCTTATAAAAGGGGGACCTTTGTACTCAGACACATGGAAGGAATATAGCCATGTGAAAACAGGGGCAGAGACTGGAGTGAAGCGTCTAAAAGCTAAGAACCAACAAGGATTGCCAGCAATACCAGAGGCTAAGAGAAAGGCCTGGAACAGATTCTCCCTCAGAGCCTTTGGAGGAAACACACAGCCATACTGACACCTTGATTTAGGACTCCTGGCCTCCAGAACTGTGAGAGGATTAAGTTTCTGTTGTTTAATCCACCCAGTTTGTGATAACTTATTAAAGCAAATTCATACAGGAGCTTTCCAGCCTCTCTTCTCCTGCAGGAGCCCACCAGCCCCATCCCCTTACCAGACCTTCAGCCACAGATAGCTCTATAGTCCAATCTTCAGTTGTCAGCTAGCCTGAGAGCTGCTGGAAATCACGGGCGCTCATCTAGTGTGGCCCCAGCTGTCTCTGGCAGTACCTCTTTCTCTTGTACCCACAACCACATTTTTCTTTCAGAGGCCAGAAAGGTGGCAATACTGGTCTCTGCATTTGAAGAAGGCCCTGCAGATCAGCAAGCACCCAGGCCCTGTGCCAAGGACTTCATCTGCATTATCCCATTTAGAATCTGGGGCAGCCTCAGGAGGTAGGTATTACTACTCACTACTGTATATACGAGGAAACTGAGGCACAGGGGGTTAAAGTACAAGGCCTTGTGCCAGAAGCTGTGCTTTTACTGCTCTCTAGCTTACTCTGCCAGGCAGCATGCTGGGGCACAGCCTACAGGCCTTGCCATGATTGCGTGAGGCAGAAGGCCAAGGAAGCTTGACCAGTGCTCTCATGGGGACAGTAGCCAGTTTCACTGGAAAAGGGTATTTCAATAAGCTCAGTCCAGAAGGTAGGTAAGAGTTATCCATAATGACAAGGTTAAAGACAAGATGAACCCAAGAAATCAAGCCCCAGGGTGCACAAGGGAAGGCCCCTTCCACAGTTGTGCAGGGAGGTGGTGGGGGTGACAGTAGAGACAAGTAGTTCAGATGTGGATAATTGATGCTGAGAGGCCTTTGGGATGCTAGGCAGGTCTGATATCTAATGGAAGGAAAGTGACAGCTGGACAGCCCCAAGGATATAGCCTGTGGGTGTCCTTGTGTGGCACTCTTTCTGTCCCAAACTTTCAGCCCTCCCTGAAGGCCCTAAAGGGTTTGGCACCTAAAACAAGGGCTTCCCTCCTGGTTGGCCCACTGTGTGAGATGGGGAACTTACCTCAGACTTGAGCCAAGGGGTGTGGGGCAACCTCAGCAGGGCCATAGCTGGGGACAAGGCTGTGATGTTCTCCTGCCCCACTCTGCCATAAACCAGCTTTTTCTGAAGTGCCACAGAACCCAGAATTTGGTTGAGTAAGTGCTCCCCACAGGGCTGGGCTCCTTCAAGGACACATCCAGGCCTGGAATTCTCAAATCACCAGGCAGAGCAAAGCTGGGTGTGGGGAACTGATGGGGCTGCCTGACCTGACCAGTGGGGTCAGAAAGGAAGGCAACCCAGGACCAGCCAGCAGCTCACGTGGAAGCTGTCTGGGGGGTTGCAGATATTTTGTGACTGTAGAATCTGAGGGAAGAAATACTATGAGAAGCATCACACTGAGCGTCCCTGACCAGCCCCTTTTGCACACTTCTGATGACAACTCCTTCCTTCTTCCCCATTGTGAGACATCTTTGGTGCCTGGAACATTCCCTAATCTGGTCCCAGTTTCCTGGGCATCACAGGTAAGTTTGATCTTGGACTTCTGGCCTCCAGAACTGTGAGACAATATATTTCTGTTGTTCGAGCCACCAGTTTGTGGGACTTTGTTACTGCTGCCCTAGCTATGACAGCCAGCTGATGGGTATTAAACATCCACAGGAATTTTCTGGAATAAATGTTAAAATGCCTCTCAAATACATACTACAGCACAATCTAATTCTTCTATGTTCTCTTTTTTAAAAAACATCTGAAACCATTCATTGCTTTTTTTTTTTTTAACACAAAATACAAATAAGGAAAAATCAGAGATCTGCACTGTTTGGGGCTGAATTATGTCCCCTCTAAAATTTATATGTTGAAGTTCTAAACCCCCAGTGCCTCAAGATTGGGGCCTTATTTGGAAACAGGGTTATTGCAGATGGAATTAGTTAAGATGAGGTTATAGCGGAGTAGGGTGGGCCCCTAATCTAAAATGACCAAAGTCCTTATAAGGAGAGGAGATCAGAATACAGACACACACACAGGGAAGAGCACGTGAAGAGCCACGGGGAGAGGTGGCTATCTACAAACAGAGGAGAGGCCTCCCTCCCAGCCCTCGGAAAGAACCAACCCTGCTTACTCCTTGATTTTGGACTTTTAGCCTCCAGAACTGGGAGACAATACATTTCTGTTCTTCAAGCCACCCAATTTGTGGTACTTTGTTCTGGCAACCCTAGCAAACTAAGACAGCCCCCGAGTCTCATCAATGCTGCCTTGTGAAGAGCTCTCGAATCTTCCACTTGTTTAAAAGTTCTTACGAACAAAAGTTTACACACATAGGATCAAGAGAGCGAGGGAGTAAAGAAGAGGGGGCAGTCCTGCTCCTGGGGCTATGACCTCAGGATGGCCTCACACTCCCAGCTCCTTCTGGGCAGAGAAGGTCTGCAGCCTTGCTCTCTTCACCAGTCTGTGCTATGGCAGGTGGCCCCAAGGGACCATGGTCACATACAAATGGTTGTGGGACTTGAACTGGGGAGGGGAATGGGGCTTGCACTGGCATTATGAGAGCTGGAACAGTCCATGGGATCCCTGAAAGTGACCTGTAGGAACAGGTGCTCTGCCCCTCTAGCCACAGGATCTTCCAAGGGTGCCATGGAGACATACCACTTAGCAGACTTGGATTCGGACAAAGCCCCCAGTCTAGGCAGGAGCTTCAAACAGCAGCCACCTCAACAGGACTTAGCTCAATTCATTGCAAAGTACAAGGAGGTATTGATTGCTCTCTATTTGCAGACAAGTGAGCACCATAATTTGCTCAGATACTCAGGGCTCAGAAATCAGAGCAAATCAGGGCGCCGTCTGTAGTGAGATCACCAGTGATCGCCTGCCCTTGCCCTGTCACCCCAGTCCCAGACCATCCCATCTGAATGGCTCACAGGCCAGAGCCACTCACAGCACCCACCTGGGCTCCCAGCTCCCTGCAGGGCTGGGCAGACTCGGCATGCACTCAATCCAAATCGCCCGAGACACTTTGGCAAAGAAGGCAGCTGTGAGCAGGGCTGGGGACTGTGGAGCCTCCTTCTCCAGAGGAGGCAGAGGACACAGTTGGCGGGTTGAACTTGGACAACTTACAGTACAGCTATAAACAGGCCCAAGAATGGCAGGGCTAGGACCCTGATGGTAGGCCCTCTCAAACCCCATGATTAGTACTGTTTCCTAAGATGTTGTGCCTGCCACTGGTTTAAGTTAACGCAGATAAGCATCAAACAGACAAGAGTGACATACTCTCCCTGGACACCAGACTGTTTTGCTCCATTCAGCCCTAGGACATTCAGCTAGACAGGCTCTTACTGATTTCTGTGCCCCATCTTGTCACTGGGCACATAGGGACAGTGACCCTGAGGCCCTGCAAGGCGGTAACCTGGCAGAAGTTCTACAGTGACAGTGGCAGGGCAAGCCTCGAAGCCCCCAGCACCAGGCAGAGATGAGTGATTGTTTACCTGTTTGAGCCAGGAGGGGATCTTGCTAGAATAGGTGGGTCTCGGCTCTTCTCAGAAGGCCTGTCCTCATCCACCACCTCAACCCTTGGGGCAAGAAGAAAAACAGATGCACTGCTTGTCCCCTGTGGTGTGTTCAGCTGCCCTAGAACTTGCTGCTCCTGAAGGACATGCTTTCTTTCAGTGGTGTCTATGGCCAGGAGGTGGTTCAGCCTGGAGGCTTAGCAACTCCAGTTTGGCATAAGGACAGCATATCAGGTTGAACAGTGTGGCTTTGAACCTGTGAATGTGACCTTATTTGGAAATAGGGTCTCTGAAGATGTAATCAAGTTAAGATCAGGTCACACTGGAGTAGGGTGAACCCTAAATCCAATGACCAGTGTCCTTATAAGAAGTGGGATATTGGACACAGACACACAGAGAAAAGGTTCATAAGATGATAGAGGCAGAGAATGGAATGATGTGTCTACAAGCCAAGGAACGTCAAGGGTTGCCTGTGGTCACCAGAAGCTGGGAGAGAAGCCTGGGAGTTTCTCTCTCACAGGCTCCACAAGGAACCAATCCTGCTGACACCTTGATCTTGGACTTCTAGCCTCCAGAACTGGAAGACAATACATTTCTGGGGTCTATGCCACCCAGTTTATGGTACTTCGTTGCAGCAGCCCCGGGAACCTAATACAGCCAGTAAGAGCACACCATTTATCTGTCACTTCCTTTGTGCTGCCACTGCCCTTTCCTGGTATATTCCAGTCTTCAGCTCGCTATGCCACCTCATCACAGATGCCTTCTTTGTTTACCTCAGGGAATACCCCTAAAATTCAACCTTCCAGAAGTTTCTTCCTTGTGCTCCCCAAATAGTCTCCTCTCCCAGAAGATGTTCTGTCTCAACTAATGGTGACACTCCTCCCTCATTCAGCTGGAGTGACGTAACATCCTGATCATTCCCTGTTGAACCCTGTTCACCCTTTAGGGCCCATCTCTAATGTTACTGTCACTTCCAAGGGCCTGGCCAGGCAGAGGCTCCCAGTGACAAACCTCTGGACCCCAGCCCAATAATCCCTCCTGCCAAGGCATTGTCCAGCCTGGTAGCTACATTTCCTTCAAAACCTCAGAGGCCCTCGGAAACACTATGACTCTACTGGGGGTCAGCAGCCTAGCCCTGTTAGCAAATGGAAGTGCCACCACAGCCACCTAGTTGCTCGCCTGGCCTCTAAACAGAAGCCACCAGCCCCTCAGAACTTCCCACTCTGCGCCTGCTTTCCATGGCGCCCATACTCCACCCCTGCTGGCAGGAGACCTTCTCTGTAGCCAGCAAGAGGCTTCCAAGGCTTCGCTTGCTGACATTTACCTCTTCGCCATGAATGGGGCCTGCATCTCCTGGGTAGGGCTGCTGAAAAGGAAGCAGAAAGGCAATGTGTTGGACAGAACCCGTGGACAGGTGGTATCATGACCCTGCTTTACAGGGACCTGGGCTTCTCTCTCATTCCTAGTACCTCACTATTCCTGATGGCAGGAGCCAGACCTCTCAGTTTTCCAGAAAGTACATCTGAGGATCCCAGAATGTCCGGCTAGGAGGGTTCTCTCAATCAGCCCCTCACTAGCCAAAGGAACCCTGGAGCCCGGACGGGAAGGGAGCCACTTGGTAGCTGAGCCGGCCCAGAAGCCAGGCCCTGCTGTGTCTCCTGCTGTGTAACTCACCTGGTGCTCTTCTTGGCTGCTGACAGAACATAGGAGTGCTCCCGGGGAGCTGTCTTCCTCACCACACTGCTTGCAGCCTCTGACCTGGGGTGGCACAGGGAGGGGGCATCTAATGGCATAAGGCAGGACTCAGTCTGCTAGCATAGCCCAGAGAGGCAAGCACATGAAGGCAAATTAGCACCTGCTCCCAGAACTATTCAAAGGAAACAGAGAGACATATGAGGCCCGGCCCTGTGCTGGATGCTGCCCATCCATGGTGTCTCATTGAACGCTTACAACCCAGGAAGGTAAGTGCTAGTTTCACCCACAATTTACAGATGAGGAAACTGAGGCACAGGGAGCTTTAGTGACTTTAGAGACTACACTCCTAGCCGGTGGCACAGTGGACAGTCAGTGCCCAGCAGCCTGGCTCCGGAGCTTCTGGCTATTCCCCTATACCTGCCAGGCCCAGGGACTTCTGCCCTTAGGATTGCCCATCTGCCAGACCCTCAGCACAGGAGCTTCACGAAGCCCAACAGACATTGGGATTGGGGTCAGGCTGAGCCCGCAGGGGTTTTATTTCCTCAGGGCCTAGCTGCTGCCGAAGCACCTGGGCCTCATTTGGGGGTGAGGGGCACTGGCACGTCTGGAGCTCTGCCTGGACTCTGTACACACAGACGGCTCCTCCCGGGGGCATGGACGGTTTTGATCCAATTTGCTCAGGACCCCTTTTTAACAAACTGATATAAAGCCTCAAAGCACCTCCCTCCCTACAGTCTGTCCACCCACAGTTGAGGCTGTCCCCAGACCCTCATTACCTAGGCTCTGCTCCATAAAAGGTTCATAAGAGAATTAAAGGTCCATAAGAGGGTCCCCAGCTGGCACAATTCCCATGTCACTGGTCCACGCAAACTTGGGCCCCTGCCCTGCCCGTGGGACGCCCAGCAGGCACCGTTACCTCCGTTTCTGCTCGTCAGACGAGAAGGGCACCTCCTCCTCTTCAGCAGCCCCTGATGCTGAGCTGCGCCTGACATTGTAGGGTGCCCTGGGGGAGGGGGAGGGGTTGAGCATACTGTTGGTTGTGGCCCCTCCTCCCCCATCTCTGCCCCTGCTCCCTGTCACGGGCTGCCACCCTCAGTAAGGCTTCCTGACTTACAACCACAACAGCACCTGTTGGCATTGTTGCCTCTGAGCCTTTGTTCACACCACTTCTTCCTCCTCAAGAGCCAGCCCTCTTTTCTCTCTTTATCCCAACCCTAACTGTCCCTCAAGACCCAGTTCAAGCCTCTCCCCTTCTCCAGAAAGATTTCCTAGCTGCTCCATGTCACTGGATGATTGTGACAAGGGATAGAAAGCAATATAAAAATGTGGGGCCCCTGGGAACTATAGGTACAACCCACACTTCTGTCCAGAATCCCCCCTCCCTGGGCACATAGTGGGGGGCTTCTTTGATAGGGGCCAGAAGGGGAGCCCCAAAGATTTATATCCAAGAAGCAGCTCAGATTTCAGCACAAAATGCCAATAATGGATAGGCTGCCAGGGCCATCAGCACGCTTGGGCTCATAAGGCCCCAGCCCAGCCTAGCTTGAACCCCAGAGGGGTGCAGAGGCATGTCCAGGAAACAGAGCTAACCAGCAGCGGCCCCAGAGCCATGATCCGTGACGCTTTCTCCAGACCCACTGACCCCTTCAATAAGCTTCTTTACAGCCCTTGCTCTGCCTCAGATCAGAAGGGCAATGTGTACAGCTGTCCGGCTTTCTGGGGTTTGTCACCTCCTTGGTAAGCTCCAGGTCACAGTGGCAACTGGCAGGAATGTCAGGCTGGCAGGACTGGCACTCCTGGGCCATGCTCAGAGGCAAGCAACCAGCTGCCCTCAGCTGGCCTGGTGTTTGGGCTGGTCCTTGGAGGAGGGAACTGAGCTGGGTCTGCAATTGCGTACTTACAGCTTCTTGTAATCCTCAGTGGTCATCTTATAGCCAGAGGAGGAGGGGCGGGGAGGCCCAGTAGGAGCTGCTCTCAGTAGACCGGTAGCACTGGAGAGGAAAGGAGTTCCCATGTGCCCACTCCCAGGCCCTCTCTTGCTTCCAAATCTGCCCACATGGCCCAGGAGGCATGTGGCTGGTGGCCTTTCCTCTTTTCTCTCAGCCCTGCCAGCCACCCAGGACATCTGCACCACCCTGAGCAGGGCAGCTCTCCTGCCATGGGTAGGCTCAGGCCCATTGGCCCTGCCTCTCTGATGGAGCCCAGGTTCAACTTGACACCAGGGTGCTTTGATGATGATGTGTCACCTCAGTCTGCTGGGAAGAAGGTGGACTAAAGCACACAGCTCGGTGCGGTCAGCCAGCAGGTCAGCTGTGAAGCCTGCCCAGCCTCCTCCCTGTGTCTCTGCCCCAGTGACCAGGGCCAGTTGGGTAGTGGCCCAGGGTCTCCCAGAGACATGGGTACTGTGAAACCCAAGTGTCCAAACCGGACCATACATCCACCTGGGGGCTTTCTGTCCCAGCACTGCTCTCCAGGGCCCTGACCTACACAGGCAGAGAGCTCCCACCTACCAGCCCTCCTGCCCGCTCCCCTTAGTGACAGGAAGAGTAATCTCTCTGTCACGAGCTTGGCATAGGCCCTCATACCTGCTGCTTGGCCTAGGCCCTCACCCCATGGACACACACCTTTTTGGAGCTCCGTTGGCCTTGGGGAAGTGCTGCTGGGGCTGACACGAGCTGTCTATGGGCTTGGTGAACACTCCCCTAAAAGAGAGCCCAGAAGTAGTCCAGTGAGCTCCCCTGTGAGAAGCCTGGGAACAGTGCGGGCAGACATAGGGAAGTGGGCAGGGTCCTGTGGTCACCTACCGGATGATATAGCCAGTGGGAGCCCTCGTGCTTGGAGGCCTGCCAAGGGAAAAGAAGGTATGAAGTGAAGCAAAGATGCCCTACTTTCTCCTGCACCCAATAACAGCAAAGTGGATTGGCTGGTGGGTGTCCAAGTGTGGTCAGAATGAGGGCAGCAAGAGGGGCAGCCACCCCTTCACCCCAAGCCAGGGTGCCTGTTCTGCTCTGCCCATCTCTCTCATGCTCCGCAGGGAAGGTACCTATGGCTGATTCTTCCAGGACTGGCCCAGTATGGTCCTGGCTCACACCAAGTGCCCAGGAAGCTGTATTCCATGGCTGAGCATTTGCTGAAGAGGGTTCTCCTCCAAACTCCAGCTTTTTCCTGGCCTGCCAGGGCCCAACACTCCCGTGAGAAAGAGGTCTTTTGGGATTGCTGACAGCCCTCTCACCCTCTACTCTCAGAACTGGAGGCTCCATGGTCAGAGGCCTATGGCGGGGAGAGTCCATGGTCTCTGACCTGATATCTCTGCACAGCCTCCTTTGGAGAGGCTCATGAGGGCCCAAGGGGTAGAACTAAAGCCAGATACCCCTTCCTTCCTGCTCCTTGGGGCTTCCCTCCTGCAGCTCCTGAGACGCCCACATCACTGTCTTGATGAAAGTTCGGGACTGGAGGGCATGGCTGGAAAACAGACTGCACATGCTGGGTACCTCCTCCTTGGGAGCAACTGAGGGGGCTCAGAGGACTGGTAGTGGCAGGCAGCCAAGAGCTGTGAGTTTGGGGTGCAGGGGCAGAATCCTTGTCTTCGGCAGATGGCCCTTCTGTGTAGGAACAGAGTTTAGTGCTGGAGCAGGGGTGGGGGGAGTGGGTCTAAGGGAACCCCATGCAAGCATGTGGGAAGGACAGCACAGAGCCCCAGTGTTCTCCATCTTGACAGATCCTTGTCCTTAATAGGGACAGCCTCCTGGAAGTGACAAAGTTGCAAGAACACTTGGGGTGGGACCTGAGAAAGAAAGGTCACTTTTCCCCCATCTAGCCACACAACCATTTTTGGCTAAAATACCTGTGCCTAGGAGAGAATGAGAGCCAAAGTTTATGTAGACTTTCAGGTATCCCTGCTCTAGGTCCTGAGTCACAGTGACCCGGGATGTGCTTTCCAAACATACCTCCAAACAGAGGCTCAGGGTGAGAACTGCGCCACCCAAAGTAAACAAGCCCCCCAATGAGTAGACTATCTTCGAACCATCCTCAGGTCTTCAGCAACTTGGCCAACTGCAGCAATCACAATCCATAATTCTCTCTTTTATGATCATCTCTCTACTTGGGTCATGCCTGTGTTCCCCGCTAAGATGTCAGTTCCCTGAGGGGAGAGCTGTGTCCTCTGTGCCAAGCACAGGACTTGGCTGGTAGTGGGTGCTGAGTCAGCGAACAGTGGTGATGGGCAAGTCCATAATTATCAGAGGCAGCCCCTGGGACCTAACAGTGACCTTGGACCCCTCCCTTCCAGCTGCCACTGCCTCTACCACCACCTGCCAACCTTCTTGCTTCTCAGGAGCTCCGGAGCATCCCTGGACACCGATATGTGGAAGTCCTCAAAGTAGAGACGTGATGGGCTGTTCCCTTTGGCTAGCTGTCAAAATAGGTCATCCTGAACTTGGGAGACAGTTGGAACAAATGTGTGAGTGTCCCGTGACATGCTGATTACCAAGTATCCTCAGCAGTCAGGGCTCCCCATGGGAGAGAGTCAAGTGTGACTCTCAAAGCTGCCTAAACCACCTCAGAGATGTTGTCTCACCCCCTACGGGGGCTCCTTAATGTCTAGTAGACAGCTGGAACCATGGAGGCCCCTTAGGCAGCCAGCCTCAAGGTCACACAGCAAGGCCAGGCACCTGAACCCAGTGACTCCTGCATTCCCTTTCCCAAGGGGGACCAGAGCAGAAAAGCCTGTCCTTCCTATGCATTTGAAATGACTCACTGCAGACCCTGACATCTCTTCCAAGCTTGGGATCCTCCTTATCCCCTGAAGACTGCAGCATGAGGTCCACCCACCAGCCATCTGGGCACCACCTCTTACCTGGCCTTCGGGACTTCCCCAGCTGATGAAAAAGATGTGGCACGACTCCGACCAGAGGGCAGCTCTCTGGGGAAAAAGAGTCGTGAAAAAGTGGCTCCCTACCATCAGCCACCCTGCAGCCTCCATCCTAGAGGCTGCCTGCTGACTCAAAGCAGGTGAGGTGGGGTGCAGCACGTGCACCTCAATAACTTGGCCCACCATTCTCATCTCACGCTCGCCTTCCCTGGCCCTGCCTTCACATTCCACAGGCACGTATATACAGGCCCACTCAGCACCCAAAGTCACAGGGTGAGTCTGGCCTCAGCTGGATTGCTTTCCCATGCTTCGCCCTCCCCAGCTGGCCTGTGGCCACATGGCCTGGCAGAGGTCTGAATGGTAGAAGTCCCTCAGCATCCCCAGGTACTGACAGGCCCCTGTGGATCACAGGCCCACCCCAGCCCATTTTTGCTGGCTTCCCAGCTTCCTGGACTTACAGAGTGTGGCCCTCCGATTCAGCCTGCTTGGTGATCCAGCTCTTGTCCCCCTTCAGTGTGGTTCGAACCTTCATCTGTTTGAGGACATTATTGCGTTCTTCCTCACCTGGTGGTAGGGGCTTCCCTGGAAGGAGCAAGGCCAGGCAGCCTCAGAAGGGGAGCCCAGCCCCAGAACCCTGAGGCCTCCCTTCCAGTCCTCCCAACGGGCCGCTCTCACAAAGCCTGGGACAAGAGGGAGCCCAGGCCTCACCTTTAGTGCTGCTTCCAAGAGCCGAGATACTCATGGTGTTTGCTCTGCAGATCCCTTCTCAGTTGATTCGACAGGGCTCCTGGGGGCAAAGGCAAGCACATGGCTTGTCACTTGATGCATTTATACTGGCTCGCACGACCATCCAGACGGGCCTTTCGGCATCGGGAAGCAAGAGTTGGTGCAGTTCTGCGTAGTGGGCAGAGGCCAGGGAGTGAACACACACTGTCTGCCTAGAGCTGTTCCCCTGGGGAACACGGCATGGGCTGCCGGGGCTGTCTGTTCAAGAGACAGCTGATAAGGGCAGGCCACGAACCCTCCTAGAGAGCTCTGATGGCCAGATTCCAGGACCAGGGGCGTGCAGGGGACAGAGTGGCAGTGGTGGGGCCACCACAGAGTCAGGCTTCCTGAGGGCTGGCACTGGTGGACTCAGAAAGAGGGACTAGGGGAAGGGTGGGGGCTGGGAGACCAGCTGCTTTGGGGCCGGACCATCTCTCTCACTCTTCAGTTGCTGACAGACTTTGGGCTGGTCAGCTCACCTCTCCAGTCTGCCTCAGTGTCCTCATGTGTAAAATGGGATTGTAAAAAGTCTACCCTTCAGGACTGCTATGAAGGCAGAATGCACCAATGTTCTTACAAATGCCTGGCACCACCTGGCACAGCAAAGATCTCAGGGCAGTTGGACAGGAGCCAAGCAGCAGTGACTTTCAACCTGTCCTCGCGGGGAGAGGGAACTGTCAGTGGTCTTCAGTCAGTATAAGCACAGCCTGAGGGCGTGCAGCCCTGCGTGGCTCAGGGGGGTTGGCTAGTTGTAAGGACTTGCTGCTATGCTCTGCTTTCTTTCTCTTCCTCTCCGTATTCTTGCACTGCTGTCCCTCCTTGCCTCTTCTCTGCCCTTGAGCCACGTGCTTCCCTCCTGTGGCCAGTGAGGGGTGGACCACAGTGGTCTCTGAGGCCTTCACAGCACCATGAAGGTCTTTGTCCCAGAAGGGGCTGGGGTGAGGAAGCCAACTCTCCAAGCTGGGACTGGCACGGTGCTTCGGGGAGATGGAAGGCCCATATTGTGAGTTTAATCCCAGCCCTGGCCTGCCACAGCTGGCCCCTTGGACCTCAAGAGAAGGGCTGGAGGTTCAGGCAAGCGGGCATGATGGGAAGGAGGGGCTGTGGCCCTGCCAGAACAGTCCTGAGGCACAGCAGTCTCCCTCTTAGGAGCCTGCCACCCTCGGGGCCTCTCCAGGGCCAGGCCCAGAGTGGCCAGGCCCTGCTGCCAGCTGGCAAGGCCTGGACATGTTTCCTTAGAGGTCAGGGGCACACTAAAATAGGTAAGGCAAGGGCCAAGAGCAAACCAAATCTGCCGCATCAGCAAGAACTGGCTTTCCCATAAACCACACTGAATGAGCAGCCCAGGAGGCCCAAGCCTGCTGCTTGCCAGGAGCGGCACCTCATCATTGCCCCACTGCCCAGCCCCTGCCCAAAGCTGCCACGTCAGATTTCTATTGAGCGGAACTCATTCCATAGGTGATCTGTGGACCTCATAGGTCCAACTGTCCCATCCCAGCAGCCCATGGAGTAGCTCCACTGGGCAGGGCACACAGACAGAGTTGCCACCTGGGATCTTGGCCTCTCAGTCTGCCGGTGCTTCTGATTGACTGTGAGACCTTGGGCAAGTCCCTTACCTTCTCTGGGCCCCAGCTCAGGGCCTCTCCTACTGCTGAGTCTTTAGGTTCCTTCAGGAAGTCTTCAGTTTCCCCTTGACAAACCTGTTGCCCACACTGCGTAGAAGTTTTCTGCTAAATCAGAACCAAACCAGCTACCTCCAAAATCAGGACAGATGCGCACACATGCAGAATGACAGAGGCAGAGGGGCCATTGGGAACTCCTTGGCCAAAGGGCAGGGACACGTGTACGAGCCCACAGTAAGGAGGAGTGGACTTGTCTTAGGTCCCATCTTTACAGCTAAGACCCCAATCACAAGACTCAAGTCTCATTGCCCCCACCTCACCAGGCAAAGAGCAGGGCTGTGCCACATCTCAGAAGTCTAAAGTTCTTTTTTGATAGGATAGTAAATCTGAAAGAGGGAGGAAATAGTGTCTTCCCATGGGATTGAAGAAGGCAGCTCTTTGGAGAGCCTTTAAAATGATGAACCCCAGACAGACACATGAACACATGCGGTCTGAATTCATGTCCCAACTACAGAGCTGCCTTTCCCCTCCACTTTACCACTCCCTCCTCTCCCTGCCCCACACAGCTCTGGACCCCTGCTTTCATTCCTGCACCTTGGCCCACATCAGCCCTCATTTCTCATTCAACTTCTGCTGGCTCTCCACTGTCTCTAAGCCTGGGGGCAAAGTCCCCAGTCCCCTGACCCAGCCACTTTTCTCACAAGTGTCCCTCGATGTTGACACTGTGATCCAAGAAGACAATGTCTCTCAACATACCTGGAAGGTGGCCCTGCCGTGGTAATCCCTATGCCTTTGCTTATGTTGGTACCCCCCCCTCCCAGAATGCCCTCCAACTCCTCTTGCTGAGCTAAGCCCTGCCCCTTCCTGGAGGGCCCACTTGTCTTGCCTGTTCCTGCTCCTACTGGGCTCTCCCCTCTTTTGACCTGAGTGCCTTGGTACTGTTGATCGAAGTCTTCCCAGACCAGACCTGCTCCCTCTACCAGCCTCAGCAAGGACAGAACCCAGGCACCCCCCTCACACCACCAAAACACACTCTGCACTGAAAGCTGGCAGGAGCCATGCTTCTGGCTAACCAAACATTGCCACCCCTCCTTGGACCCAGGTCTCCTCTCAGACCCACCATCCCCTTCATCCCCAATCAATGAACAGCTGGGTAAACCCTCACTACACACTGTTGGTGGACAGGTCAATGAACACATCCTTTCAGAGGACAAATCTCTATATGTACTGAAAGCCTTAGACAGGGTAAGACCATTGGTCTTTCAGCTTCCCGTCACAGCAATCTCTCCTCAGGAGACAAGTGAGTAAGGAGAACAAAGTATACTAGAGGGGTGGTATCCCAGTGCTGAGTATAATGGTGAAAATTAGGCAATAATCTAAATTCTCAACAGTCATATTTAAACATATTCTGATCCATTATTCAAGCAACTACTGTGTAGTCATTACAAATGATATTGATATATAGTGGTATTTAACAAACCTTCCTATATATGGTTTCCTTATATCGTTAAGTGAAAGAAAGCTTTAAAAAAAAAGACGTGTAGAGGGGCACCTGAGTGGCTCAGTTGATTAAGCGTCCAATTCTCGGTTTCAGCCCAGGTCATGATCTCAGGGTTGTGAGACTGAGCCCCAGGTCGGGCTCCATGCTCAGAGCAGAGTCTGCTTGAGATTTTCTCTCTCCCTCACCCTATGCCCCTCCCCCACTCTAAATAAATAGATAAATAAATAAAATCTTTAAAAAAAGATGTGAAGGATGGTGCCATTTACTTAAAAATCTATGTACATTACGATGCACAGGGAAAGAAACATCTGGATGGATATATACCAAAATACTTTGCTCTTCTGTGTATTCTATTTTTCCTATAATGGATGTGCATTGCCTGTGTGATAAAGACTAAACAAACAGTGGCTTAACCAAAGGAAACGGGAGCTGGGGCTGCTTGGATATCTAATGATGGATCTCAAAAGTTGATGCCAGGTGAGCAGTGCTGAGGAAGGACTGGGAAGTGAGGAGAGCCAATGGATGCAGCGGAGAATTCTCTCCCTCCCCCAGGATAGACATCCTGGATGGGGGTGGGGGGGTTGTACCTTGGGCCTCTAGGGACCCTCTGTGCTGCTCTGAGCAGAGCCTTACCACCTGCAGGCACACACACGACCTCCTCTAGGATCCTGGGTCCTCTTTGCCCACAGCTCACGTGGGAGGGAGAACAGGCATGTTCCCACCCTACTTCTAGTCTTCCTCTTCTTCTGGGCACTTGGGCTTCCTTCAAACCCTCCTAGGCCTCCCTGGCACGTGAGACCTGCCATCCAGAAGGGCCACCTGGCCTGACAGCTCACATCTTTGCTCCTCATCCCTAAGTGGCTTCACATGGCTGTGACATTGTCTCACTGTCCGGGCCTCAATTTCCTCATCTGTAAAGTGGTGCCAAGCCACCAAGCCCATGGACCTACTAAGCCAGAGCATGTGTCATTGCCTAGAATTTGGTGCCAGCTCTTTTCTATCCCATAGTTTGGGTGTCATGATGTTGGTGGGTGTCCTCGTCTCCTAAATGGCACGTGTGAGTGCATTTCTAGTCAGGACAGCCACTCTGCACCTTTTCAGTACTACAGCTCCTGTTTCTACCTTGATACAGAAAGTCTGCCGGTACCTTAGGAATTGCCATATTGCCCTGCTTAGGGGCCTAGCCTGGGCCACCAAAGGAACAGGTGGCTTATCTGCCACCTTTCACCCTAGCTATCCCTCATAGAGCAACTCCTTGTGCCAAATCCAAGCAAGGCCCTACACTCAGACTACACCAGCCTGTCCCAGGGCAGCTCAGGACTAGGTCAAAATCCTCCTGAGCAGGCCAGGCCACCTCAGACACTAGATGGGTGCCTCCAGCCCACCATTTGGCCCTTCACATCCTTCTTTCTACCCTTTCTGCCCCCCATTAGCCCACAGATGTCTCCTGGGGCAACCAGGGGGAGCATCCTTAGCAAGAATGAGTGGGGGAGATGGGGACAGGCCCTCCCTGATGGAGATGGCCTCCAACTGCACCTTCCTACAGCTGAAGCCTCTCAAAGGCTTTCCAGCAACTTCCCAGGAGGGGCCTCTGGCCCTGATTAGATAGAGAGTAGCAAAAAGCCAATGAGGGAGTGCAAGGAGCCTGTTTTCCCCAGGCCACAGCAAGCCTGGTGTGGTCAGGGAGTGGAGTTGGAGCTGATGCAGGCAGATTAGCAGGAGGGAGGGAGCCAGGGAATTGGAAGACAGTGACGCAAAGGCTTGGCTGATGCACAAGGAGACAGAGATGGAGAGAGAAGCAGCAGGAGGAGGGGTGTCCCATCACCCCCCAAGGACAGGGCGTGCTCTGCCTCATAGATGAGCAGGCTAATTCAGAGAAAATTTTCTAGAATTGCCACC